AAATTTAGGGCCAAAGAGTGCCCAATGTCCCTCCAAACTTTGGAAACTAAACCTAGAGACTAACCATGGCTTGTTTAGACATCAAAAACATTAAGAGTCAAGGGCTAAAAGTGAGTTCATGGCCAAGGATGTTCTTGGGCCGTGAACTCCATTTTAAGTTGCCAAAATGCCCTAAATGCCTTCATTAAGCCAAGAGACTAGCATAGCACTTTACCTTGATGTGTCTAGGACCCAAAACAATCAAAATACCAACACCCATGAGTGTTTATGGCCACAAACACATGACCAAATGGTCCATGGTCCGTAAACTCAAGTTAGGGTGTTTTGATGCCACAAACACTTCCTAAGGCTTAGGCTTGAAGTTAGAATGCTTCCTTATGACCTTTAGGACCCTCATAAACATAAATGGCCATGAGTTTATGGTAGTAAACTCATTAGGTCTGTGAACTCCTCAAAAACTCCAAGGAAGGTGGTCTTTTTCATCCTAGGTTAGAGCTAATGTCCCTAAATCATTCCCTATCCTTCAAACTTGCATTCCCACATGAGTAGTCATGAGTTTACGGCCGTAAACTCCCTTGGGTCATGAACTCATGGTAGTAAACTCATGTGAGTGCCTTTATACCTTCCTATGTTGAATCACATGTGATTCCAACACTTGGTCAAGGTGTTTCCTAGTCCCGGAAGGTGTTTCCTTTCATATAGATGTTATAAACACTATATTCATGTCAATATGTGTCATTATATGTCATTTAGGACTTATTATGTCCCGAGACTTCATTCGTGGAACTTCTCATCCCGACACGCATACCCGTTAGAACCATTCACAATAGGTGAGTTCATACCCCTTAATCAATGTTTTAAATGATTTTAAATGCTTTAATGGGGGGGGGGGGAATACAAGTAGAAAACAGTATGTTATTAAATCACTCATATGTATTTTATAACTGTGTTTTCATCCAGCAGATTTCACATACTTCAAAATGTGATGCATGAAATGGTTTTCTATCTTAAAATACCTTGTTATCAAATGTATCAGTTTTTGAAATGTTTATTAAAATGACATCAAGTCATTGTTAATTGTTGTTCAAAACTCTTATATGTCTTACAAAACCATTTTTACCTTCTTGAACAAAACTATATCTATACACTTATGTTCTTATATATGTATTGATGTTATAGTTTTCATCCTTTATTCAGTTCGCACAATCTTGTGTAGCAAGGGTGTATAAACCTGCTTGGACAACCAATTACCTTCCAGTTAACTATTATAGGGATAGTTAGAAGATACAAAACATTATTCCTATTACAAGGAATTACATCAGAGTCAGTTCATTCATGAGTCTATATTATACATTACAGGTTACATGAATACACTTACATGAGTACGCTTACATGGATACACATACATGAGTACTTTACATGAATACATTACATGAGTACTTTTACGTAGATACATTTACCTGTATACACTTACATGAATACTTGTATCTCGATTCATGAGGATGATTTATTAGTACCTTCTTTGTAAACTGTCCTGCCTATCCCAGTTCAACGGGATGTCTAGACGGGACTAACCATTCCGAATCCCAGCTGTTAGCACCAGTGGTTGATGAACATCTACGGATGCCTACGGTTATTACTTATACTAGGAGTACCTTTACGGGACTAACCATTCCTTGGGTCTACTATTCGCTAAAGAGGTTGATGAACATCTACGGATGCCTACGGTTAATACTTATATTAGGAATACTTTTACGGGACTAACCCTTCCCCCCACCTGCTGTAGCTACAGAGGAAAATTGAACAATCTACGGATGTTCAAAGGTTATACATTTCGCAAATCGCGATGTCGTGTTAATCCTAATACAAAAGGATAACACTTACATGATTATATTTTCCATATTACTTTATTTTGTGATACATTCACATAAATGATGAGTTAGACTAAGTACTGTTCGTAATAGTCAAAAAGAAGGAAAAAATATCATTATCATAGAAAAACATTCGGGTCTTGGTAGAAGACTACATTTCATACTAGTAGGAAATAAGGGATTTTCTAGGGTTTTCATACTTATATCAATTGTTTCATTTAAAGATTTACAAGGCATTCATAACAGCTTTCCAAAACAAGACAATGACACTTAAATACTTATGAATTCACCAACTTTAGGCTGATACTCGCTTTCAAAATAACTTGTATTCTCAGGTCACCAGTTAGACAGGTACGATGGCCAGGCTTTGAGAAGACGGAGCACAGACAAGACTCGTCTTATTTTGATTATTCATTTTATTGTTGTACATTATGAAAGAACACGCATGTATTAAAACTTTACTTTTAATGCAATGGATGATGTTGTTGCTTGTTTACTACTTTCTACTGTTATGATACTTCACATGACATCCTCCACCCCGGGACGTTTCCGTCGTTCTTGGTTTTGGGGTGTGACACACAGTCACCCAAAGCAGAGGCTGATGGCGCCAAACGGTGGCATGAGGTGGTGGTGGTTTTTCTTTAGTTTTTGGTCAAGCAACACTGAAAAACAACTTTAACTTAAATAAACGCACACATAACACCATTTGACACATACACAGGCACCTCTCACGGTGGCTAGTGGTGGTAGAAGGAGTAACATGGATGGCAACTACCATGGTTGGCTGCCATGGTGGTCTTCCTAATCGGTTTTCCTGCCAACAACACGCCAATCACGGGCATCAACACTAAATCACACACATGCGTACATGGATACATACACAAACACGTCTACAACAACCTTCTTCGGGGGTGGTATGTCGACCGGAGAAGCAAATGGGAGGGTTGTACGAGCGGTAGCAGTGGCAGCTAGCTTTTGCGGAACATTAAGAAGGCGAGGGGCGGTCAAACTATTGTGATGCGGAGAACAACAGAAAAGAAGAAGT